TAATTTATAATTAAAATAAATTTTATTATATATAATCTTCTGTTCTTATATAATATTAAGATATTATTATATAATACTAACTAATATATAAGTATCAATATTAATATAGACCCAGATAATATAATAAAAATACATATTAATAATTATATATATTTAAATATTATACAGATCCAGCTTTATATAATTATTTATAGACCAGATATAATCTGGATCTAGAATTATATATAAGCTATAATTTTATTATATATTATTCTTCTATTATTATATAGCCTCAGATGTAATTATATAATAGATAGTATATAATTAATATCTAAAAATAGAAAGTCTTTAATTAACTAGATATTTATATATAATTATTCTCTTTATATAGATTTTGGAATAATAAGATATTTATTATATATATAAATAAATAAAAACTTTTATTTATAGTCTTAACTCTTAAATAGTTTCTTTATTATATATTTTAAATAAATACTTTGTAATTATATTATTCTGAAGTTAATACTTATTAAAATTATTTATTTATCAGATAAGGCCTTGCTCTATAAAAAAATTATTAAAATATTTATATAAAAACTGTATAACTTTTATTTTATATAATATATAAAATCTTTATATCAGAGAGATATTTTTTAAAGAACAACATCTTAATTCAGCTATATAAAAAAGAATTAATAGTAGTTATATAATTATATTTACTAATTTTTCAAATACTCAACTAATCTTTGATTATACGCTTACGGACTTGTACGCGGTATGTTACTTTGATATAGAAAGCAATATTACTTGTAAATTAATTCTAATAGAATAAATTAATAATCTTAGTCTTATACGGCTCTAGATTAAGTTTAGAACATACCATGATTAAGAATATAAATAATAAACCACTGTATGTAGAGAAATGATTAGCATCATCTACTAATATAATTAGTATAATATACGGTGAGGGCAGCGGTGAGCGTACTTAGACATTAAAATTCGTTTTTGCCCGATGGCCGCTATTAACCGCCGTACATCAAGTAGTGAATCAAACCAGTCCGGCCCGGGCCGGTGGGTCTCAGCTTTTAGTTGCTGTGGGCGGGGATTCTCCGAGTCAATAAAATTTTATACCGGCAGTCCGGCACACCACCGTCGGGATTTCCGCGTGCAAATCGGGTGTAAAAATCGGTTACTCTTTCTACGCATCTTTTCACCCTGTCTGAAGTATTTCATTTCTATCTGAATACATGATCCATACTATTTTGCCACGGTTCGACCAGTACAGTGTCCGCCACCCAACTCATGTCAATATCCAATATGCTGTTGTCGGTCCAACTCGGTGCTTCCAGTGCCAGGCTAGACACGTCAAGTGCCGATTCCATCGATAGCTCGGATTCCGCTGCTGTAAAAATTTCAACACTGCCCATGTCAGAGCCAATTGATGGGTCAGCCGTCGGTGGCATTTGGGCCCTATCAAACGCGCCTAGATGGTCGTGATTGGATGTGACGCCGCTAGATGCAATATATCTTGGGGATGACGCGGCTGCGGAGTCAAAACACGAGGCTGGCTGACTTGAAGGAGAAAGTATGCTTGTAGGCACATGGATCATCTCTTCTGCGCGCCTGCGGAGATCATTCATGATCTCTGAGACTCGGCGCGGCAAGCCTAGAATATTCACGAGGATAGTAAATGTGTCCAAGGCAGTATCCACCGCCTTTTGCGCTTCTGCAGCAAAGGTGCACTTTGGGTTGGCCAAAATGAAGGCTAGGAGATATAGGCAGCTGTCCCACTGGCAGCGGAAGATCGGGAGGCACCTCGCAAGACTCTCACTTTCGGTCAGACTCTGGTGGCAGATCACCGTTAAGGTGACGGCGTGCTTCAGACCGGTGACAGCGTGCGCATGTGCTCGCGGCATAGAGGCGGAATCGCCGCCCTGCAGGTAGAGAAAAGGCCGCAGGGCCGCCAGACTCAGACTGTGGTAGCTGATTTCTAGGGCGAACTGCTGCCGCTGAAGCCACAAGGGGGCTGTACGGTCTAGGCTAACAGTGGCTCCTTTCAAGAGAAATGAGTACCCCCGAGTACCGTCCTTTCGAGGGATCCGTAACGGAGAAGGAACTGCATTAAGGCCTTCCCGGATAGCCTTAAGAGGACGCATCATAAACACTGCGAGAGACTCCAAGAGGCCTGGTAGGTTGCGAATGTCGGTCTCGTGGTTTTCCTGGAGAAGCTCTGTCTGTTGGTGGTCGAAAACTGTGCGTACAATCTGGAATGACATGAGCAGCTTGGCCCAGTGCACCTGGAAGTGATTCGAACTGGAGCTACCCATTGGGGAGATCGTCGGCCAGCCGCAGGATACCTCACCCTGGACAATGAGGGATGGCAGTCCCAAACTAGTGGTGAGACAGCTCTCTAATGTATACAAAGCCCACCATACCCGGCGTCGGACCTCACGCTGTCTCGCATCCATTCCTTCTGGGGGATCGTGATGGAGGTCTAGTCCATATGCCAAGCGCACTGCGCCGTCAATCGTGGTGTATGCGGGCTCAATGCGGTCTGTGTACAGCAGATAAATGCTCGAGAAGATGAAGGTTTGCACCGTGGCTAGCGTTGGGGCAGCCTGTTCCTCTTGGAGAAGCAATTGCCGGGTGCGATTATACAGCTGTTGCCCGGCTATCCGGACATCGATGCCACCAGATGCTTCATTGGATACAGCAGTACTGGTGACCTGCATGCAGATGGCAAGTAAACTGTCAACAAGAGCTGATGGCTGACGGGTTTTGCGTCCCGGCGTCCACAAGGCATCGTAATATGCCTGGAATTCCCCCACTTCAAGTATGGGCCAGAGCGACTGGACATGGGGCCAGCCCGTGTTGAGTAGATGGCTCTCATCAGTCCTCGACAGTTCAACTGGAAGGCTCTGTTGATTGTTGACAACGAAGATGCCTGCGATATTGAGATTTGCTGTCTGAACCCCTGGTCGTCTAGCGGCCCTTCTGAACAGCGAACATGATGCGTCATTAGCTTGTGTCTCTCTGACCAACAGAGTAGAAAGTAGAAACACCTACAAGCTCGCTACTTGGTTGAACTGTGTATTCCAAGGTTGACCCATGATGTAACACGCAAGGAAGGTATCAGGAGAATATAGATGTAACGATATAGTCAATGAGCCGTAGAGCTCCCTGAAACGGTTTCTGGGCACTTAAATTTTGACAACTCAGGTCCTGCCTGCCACCGCATCCTACCTCCATTGCTCTGACGGCCGATTTATGTTCTGGGAAGGAGCGGGTCCAGATGCAGACACTGCAGTCTGGCATCCTGGTTGTCGGGTATATCAAAATTTATTTCAGTAGCATGCATATGGTTCGCCACCGTGCTACATAACGGCTTTCCTAGTACCTTCTTGGCCCATTGCACCAGTAAGAAGGTCTGGAAATTGAAAATCCTTCCTCGCCACCGGCTGTCAGACTAATGGCAGGTGGGGGCGCCCGGCGCAGACCTGGAAAATTGTTTGACAGGCACGGTGATAGGACCAGATACCCTTGTCACGGGGTATACCCGACACTAAAAGGACTAGAAGATTGGAGTACCACACAGAGTATTTCTGGGATTGTCGGCGGAGCTGTTGCTCAACGACAGCTGTCGGGCATCGTGCATAAGCCAGCATCTCCGTGGACTAGCGAAGGTCAGCAATAAACCCTGCCTCCACTCTCGGTATAATCCACACACGGGCCAAGTTGACCATCTTGTCACACTACTGTCTGTGCCGAAGCCCAGACAATTTCTTCTCAACTAGGGGAATGCCATAGATGTGGATGGAGGGCGGTTTTGCCGTTGAGAGCTCAGTAATGGAGACCACAGGCAACATGTTAGTGCAACCCGGGAGCATCAGCTCCCAATTTGGGCTCGTCACTTGGTTTATTCGAGAAACTCAGCTGAAGTGAAAGAGCGTCTGATTTGCTAGGTGGAACAATTTTCCAGTATGTCTAACACTTTGCCCTCCCGCCGAAAATTGTGCCCGAGTCTAGAATCGAGCCACAGCGAACACATCGCCTATATGTCAGCCGCTATTATGCGTCAGCCATGCGGGGTATATACTTAGCCTGTGGCCACCGATTAAATTTATCGTCTAAGCTCAGGATTTCTCGTGCCTAGGAATATTTGTATATGCTGGCAAGAGATTCGCTGGGTTGCTTGCCTGTCTGTTGACGAGGTTGAACGGCCGAACTACAAGGAAGTGGAAAGACGTGAGTACCCGGTGACCCCCTTCAGCTCCCACTATCAAACTCGAATGGCTTCTGCACTGTAATATCTCTCTACCAGTCTCCAAGTCATCAGTGAGATGCTGAGCATGTCAATCTTCAATTTTGCCCTGCTCTCACCGCTGCCGGTCCAATTTAGCCTCCCTCTCCATAATATAAAATACCACCTTGTCAATTTCTCTACAAGGTATGTGGCCTGTGCATAAGCGGTTGCCTCGTACGAGAATCGCAAGCATGTGCATAACACGGGCCTTTCTCTTATCTGCAGATATCCACTGCCGTCTCGCTCTACTTCATGTTTCTTCTCTTTTATCTCTCACGGGTGCGCATCGCAGGTGGACAGTTACCAAGATTCCTGCTTTTGTCAACCTCGCCACGCCAAACATGTAGAGTGGCTTTGTAATCGCTACTCCAGCAATCTCATAGCTTAGCCACATCCTCTTCTCAGAATCGATGTACAGTGGCGGAAGCCCCGAGTAATCATTTCCTTGCCCCGATGCAGCAATGACTGGCATCTTAGTTCCTGGTGCGGTCTCGAAGAACAGACCTCCAGGTCTTTCAATCTTGTTCCACTAATCATAGTGGAAACCTGCTGTGCCGAGGCGCTTAGTTCCCGTTCATCGAGAAAGAAGTCGCTCGCCTATCTTGGATGCTCTATGGTCTCTTGGCAAGAGACCGTTCTCTGCATTCAATCTGTCACCAGCTGATCTTCCAGATACTGCAGACGGTCTAGACCAATCGCGCAATCACGCAAATAATTTCCGACCCAAGACAAATCCGCGTAAAATTCTCGGTTAAGGTCTATCTTTGAAGCTGAGAGGCGACATGACGATCAGGATCAAACACGGCTGCATCAAGAATCCTGGGAGGACCGCTCGCCCGGCAGCACACCATTATGCGAAAAGAATATGTCTGGATGGAGGCAAGGACAGAGGCAATCTGTTCTCAGCCGGATTGAGATCACTCACTATTCGTAGGATGTGAAGATGTCCTTCGGAGCAGATGGAAAATCGCATATGGGCTAGTTAGACAAGATCTCGGCTGCAGCATTATTTATGGGCAGCAGCTGCAGAGTCTCTCTACTAGTGTATGCATTGTGTCGGATGTCAAAGCCAGCCAGTCAGAAGGGAAAGAAAAAAAAATATTCTGCTTGGGTTGTTAATGAAGCTGCGCATAGAAAGTAAGACCCTTCGGGTAAGTACTTCCGAGGCGGACACCTTCACATCGGTGTTTAATATCCAAAAGTGGTGAAATGCCCCTCCTTCGTCTACACCGATATAGTATTGGCGCATTATCCACCACACCAATCAACTAAACAAATGTAGCACCGGACGTGTACTCGACCACACGAGTCATGTTGTGAGACCGATCCACACATGCTTGCTACTTATGTCAACAAAGAGTAATAGTTAACATAATCAACGGTCGGGCGGGCCACACGGTCAGGCGGGCCACTCCTTCAAAAACACCATCTTGAATCATCTATCCGAGGCTTTTCAACCATCATAAATGCCACCAAAAGCATCTATCCTATTAAAATTACAGGTGGAGTAGGAAGATAGAATTCTTCTTATTATTAAAGCTATTTAGAAAGACTAAATTACTAGTATTTATAAAATAATACGTGTTTATAATATCGCTCAAACTACTCTCCAGGCTTGATTATCTGGACGTATTTTCATTAAAGATATAACTAACGCACGTCAAAAATTATTAAATAATAAAGAGAAATTACTTGTTAAATAGATTTTATTTCTAAATAAGCGAGGAGTAAGCCTCCGGCTATTTAATATCAGAGATATAATTAATTTAATTATTTTTAAATAAAATTATTCAATTATTAAATAAGTAGATATTAACTGGGCTTATAGCTTTATTAAATACTATAAATTTTTATAAATTTGATTTACTAAATAATTTAATTATCAAAGAACTAAAATAGAGGATTCTGAAGTTATAAAAGACTAGTTTAAATATATATAAGAAGTTATTCAAGAATACAAGATTTTATTAAATAATATATATAATTTTAATAAAACAGGGTTTACTATAAAAATAATTATTATATATAAAATAATAACTAGTTCCTAGAAAGCAGGTCAGCCGTTCCTAATTTAATCAGGAAATTAGAAATAGATCATTATAATTAAATATATTTATTTTAATAGAAAAATTCTATCTTCGACTCTGATTTTTAAAAATAAAATATATTTAAAGATATAATATGAAGGTCAATCCATTTCTTTTATTTAAAGATTTAAAATCAGTAATAACAGTTAGACTATTAATAAAATTAGATTTTAATAATTTTAAAAATACTTTATTCTCTTGATTAGAAATAAATTAGTAAATAAATATAGTCTTCTAATTTTTAATAGCCATGGTAGTTATTTAACATCTGAATTTAACTAATTCTATATTAAAAATAAGATTATATTTATTTATATATCTGCTTATTCGTCCCATCTATTTTAATCTCTTGATATTGATTATTTTAGTATATTTAAATGTATGTACGGAGATATGGTTCAAAAGCAGATATAATATAGCTATAATTATATTAATAAACTTAACTTCTTAGAGATCTATTCTAAAACTTATTAGTATATTTTATCAAAATTAAATATAATTAGTAATTTTAGAATAACAGGTTTTATTTCTCTAGATTCTAATCAAGTATTTTCTTAATTTTATATTTATTTAAAAATATTATTAATTCTGGATAACCAGTCAAGTGGCTCAGTGCTTTAAATATTATATAATATAAAATATCTTTTAAAATATTAAAAATTAGTGGAATATCTACTTCAGAAATGGTAAGTAAATCTAATTTTATTTATAAATTTTATACTACGTCAGCTTCTTAAAGAATATGAATTAGTAATAATAAATTTAATTATACTAGCTAAGGAGAATATAAAATTATATACCAGTTATAAAAAGTAACTATAAAAAAGAAAGTATTTGAGAAAGTAAATAATTTATATAAAAAATACTACTATTGAAGAGATCCAGAAAGTTATATAGAAAGTAGAAAAAGTATAAAATAATAAAAATATTAAGATTAAATCTTAATTTTAATATATAGAGACTCTCTCGCGCGCGCCTCCATGCTATAATAATTACTTTAATATAGGCCACCGACGTACATAGTGTTTTAAATTATCTACTAATTAATTAAATAGCTGTTTTTACAAGCATTTGTGTTGATTTAGAGGCCTTATTTTGATTATATCGGGTAATCCTACCGGGAGGTGGCCCGCCTGACCGTGTGGCCCGCCCGACCGTTGATTATGTTAGTTAATCGACGCATTCCGTGGTTATCGTAAGGGAGGCAGTACCTATCAATGTATTGATTATCAGATAAATATAAAGTAAAAAGCGTATTCTAATCCAGTGGATTATAATATAAGAGAATAACCAATCATGCTCTAGCATCTTTGTAGGTACCTTTGTAACGGGGCAACCCTACAAGGAACAGCGCCCGACATTCCGCACGTTCCGTGTTTGCCGCGCTTCCAAGCCTAAAGTTGATCAGGAATATGCCTGCATAGAAGCTGAAAACAATTCTAAGTGTGCTCGCTCAGGACCTTGCCTGAGATTTTTGTATCTGCAGACTATGTTCTAACTATAGGAATACGCTTCTAACGGATACAGAATGGAGTTCCTGATATTGGATCTGGGAATTCTTTCAAGGAAGTAGAGGTCTAAGAAACCGTATATACCTGTGTAGAGACGTGATTTTCTAGAAGCCACGTAGCTTCGACTGGTGCTATTCTTCCATTAGCTCTATTCGTAGTAGCACTCCCAGATAGCCTGCTGACTGGGGATACACGGTCGTGGGTAGTAGACGAATGGGTACGGGCTCTGGATTCTACCGAGCGGTCCGGGCGCTCAGACGCCCGCCGATAGTGACAGCTGGCTGGCTTGTTAGTGCTAAGTGGGGACTAAGTGCCCGGAGAGGGCGATCTCGAATTCCTCGAACGACGTGGAACTATCATAAGACGACATTGAGACATTTAGATCTTCCTGGAGCGTTGTGAAGCGAAACTATGGCGCGATAGCGCATATCATCAAGTTCAAGGCCATTTGATGCACAGGCAAGAAGGTAAAATCTGGTTACTGATATATGGTGGGGTAGTCCGTGTGTGACAGGAAGAACAACCTTGGTTCTAGCAGCCTTCGACCATGATGCAACTCAGGAGAAAGGGCTCTGAGCAGACTTCTTGCTCGCGCGGTCTGTTGGGAAGATTCAAGCTTTCAGCAATAAGCATGACTTTGTATTCTCATGGATCTCAACTGTCCTTCAGGGTAACAGTCACATTTTTCTAGCAGATAAAGCTGTTCATTTTCTCGCAACAGACTCTTCCTAAACAACAGCTACTCTTCATATCTACCACGAAGTAGCTGGAATGATAATATGAAGAAACGGAACATCCATTTCTCTGACTAATGAGCAGGTTCGCTAGTCAATACAAATACACACTGTCATGTTTCATCTTCACCTCGTCATCAATGAGCATACAAGTCTGCGAAGACAAATCATTGGCATCGTTAGATTGATGTTGACTGGATGTTTTTCCAAGTTTCATTATTTGCTACAAGATCAAGGTAAAGTTAGGCAGCCTTAAGTGAACGTTCGAACCACATTGTTCTCAAAACGGCCCGCCTTGTTGAGGGTCTGCAGCTGATGGACTTGATTGGCAAGTAAATCAGGACATTGTCTGTTTGACTACTAAGTGAAGAGTGGGAAACTTGATCGAGATAGTATTAGGTCACGCAGTGCGCCCGGAGACGGGTCCGGGTCCGTAAGTATGAGCGAGTCGATTCTTGATGGCTTCTGTGACAAGCAAACTAGAGGCATCGACTTCGGCATCAAGTCCATTGTGAAATTAATGCTGAGGCATTTTTGCAATTTCTCAAATGCTACTGACGCATCTAACACACAGTTCTAGTAAGCTCAAACTATCAATGCGATTTCCAATGGAGCTTGCTTACTTGCTTTCTTATACAGTTAGCCCTATGCGTGTAACAATGGTTCTAATACGCTAGAAAAGCCACCAGTACGGCCTACGTTAATCTGTATTCTATTCTTAGCTTGTAGAGGAATCTATTTCCGGGACAGTCTTTTCTACATATTACTTAAGAAAACATCAGCCCCAGGTGTATTTACTGACCCGCTTCTCCTCAATAATCTGAACTCTCTTCATCACCTTACCTTCACTCCAGATAATGCTAACCGGAGCCACAATGGTCAATGCATACAGGTAAGAGAGGAACTGTGGCCGCACAGGAAGTTGATGATCTGCTGTGTGAAAAGCTCAGTGGCATTCTAGCTAAACGACGCTCCCAGAGGTCTGAGCATACAGAATGCGTTTTCATCCCGACATGTGCTCGCTGGATTGATACATGTCACATGGCAGATGGGGGACTGCGCATTGAGCTACCAATCAGTTTGACATGGTAGAAGACCACATGTGCAAATAACTCTGGCAGGCAACTTTACCATTATCTTCTTTGACAGGATAATAATCCAAACATGGCATGTGTGGTCCGCACTCAAGTAGTCTCACCGATGATGGGAAAGAAGTCAAAGGCCGCATATTGTGAGTGAATGAAGATATATTCCACAACATGAAAACACAAAAATGCAACAAGGTCTGAGAATCTCCTTACACTCGACATTTACAACCAGAACCTTGGTCGTGACCCTATTCAGGACATTGACAATGATCTCCTAATAAAGGAGCTGCTAGGTTCGATTTGCTTTATGTTTCTCAGATGGTTGCAAATCCAACCACGGTAGATCATCGCGCCAAGGTAGCTCAATTGACTAGGATGGTTCGGACTAGCCTGGGAAGGTTTGGGGTTCCGAAATCGAAGACCAGCAGCCAGAGTTACACAGCACACAAGGATTGTGATACCCAATATGCTAACAGAGTTGCTGCAGGGTATTTAGTTCCCGATACTTCCATTCAACGTCCAGCTCGCATGGCACCGCTGTAGTTATCCTTTTGCTCTATAGAATGAGCGACCATCTGGCTGCGGGAGTCTCCACTCCGACGGGTATCACAGCCGCTGACCTCAACGAAGGGGGACGTGCGCGATCAAGGGCGTTATGAACTTTATGCAAGGAACTAGGACACATGGACTATCATAATATGAACTCGTGGACGCCGGCCGCCCTTATCACGCGAGATATGCTAGTAAAATAGCTAAGGGGCATGAGCTTTTTTGGTTTGGAAAATCCGGGGCAAGAAGGTTGGACTCCATCGGGGTGATGTATTTCCCGCGAACTACTAGGCATAGGGATTAATTACTGATTACGAGAATACTTTCCAGGAGTGTTATAGGAATGAAGGTTCGAGAGCGGACGGGGCTGAAGAAGAAGAAAATGGAAGGGAAAAACAAGAGGTTAGGTAGAAAAGAAAAAAAAAAAAAAAAATCAAACCACACAGAACCAAGGAAGAACCACCATCGACGCGGGCGATGCCGATACAGCCGAAGCTCCTCCCAGCAAATGACTTCCGGGCGCCGGTTGCGGCCAATGACCGAGTCGCCCTCGCGAGCGTCGCATTGCAAATTAATTTCAATGACGATGATCCAGCAACTCTGCATCACTTGGACTCTGCACCATCCCAGACACTTGAGTCATCCGCGGCTGTTTAGTTCGAAATAATTCTTGGCCAGGACGCCCTGGAGCTGGACTAGTTGGACTATTGCCTGAGCAGAGCGGCCTTCTTCCAATCATCCCTCACGGCGGCTTTTCCTCGATCCGCGCCTTACCGATTTTCTCCTTCAACTCCCAACTCAACTCTTACTTCATCCTCCCCTGGTGCCTTAGTTGCTTTCTGCTTGCTCTCCTTCTCTTCCTCTTAATCTCCGCTACTTGTATTCTCTTTTGCATTGACCCCGCTTCTGTATTTCTCAGCAACTGTCTGTTTAGCTCTCAAGTTTTTCCCGGCTTCCGATCTTCTCGCGTCGGTCCTTTCCCCCCATAGCCCAATTCTAACGAATCCCACCTCGATAATACAAACCCCCTTCACGGCCGACTATTGAGACGCGGAGACGCTCCAGTGCAATTAGGATCTTATCGGCCAGTTAACTCGGAGCAAAGGAATCTGCGTCACTCCCCTGCGATTGCTCAGCACGATATCCGATCGAGGCAGCGGACAGGAAAGCGCTGAGCACTCGACAACGTGTAGCGCAGGGAAGTCACGGCCCTTCCAGTGTGCGAGTCTTCTAGTATTATTCGACAATGGCGACCGAAATGCGGTCGTTCTACACCCCCTCGACCTCCACACACATCTCCTCGCATGCGCCGGCTGCAGTGGATGAGCTGATCAACAAATACTCTTCTACCATGACAAACTGTCCTGGTTCCAGCCATTTGTCCATGAAGCAACCCCGTCGCAACATCCTGCAGCGATCTGTCGACCGTATTCGGCTGGAATATTACCGCTACGAGGTTACATTCGGACTCTATGTGATGACACCAGGGGAGAAGCTGGTGGCCAACACCTTTGTGATGGTCGTCCTGTCCTTGCTGTTCTGGGCACTGCTTGTTTATTTCCCCGCGCTGCTGTACCAGAAGCTCAGCCGTCTCGTATGGCTGTTGACTGGGCATAGTAGCGAGGAAATGGGTGCAGCCTTGGGCATACTCGACTCGCACGTTAACTCGATATCCACCCCCTCCAGCTGAGGGAATCACCTGGCTATTGGTTAAGCGTAACTGCCTGATCAACATTATGACCATATATATTTTTTTTCTCGCTCTTGGTTTGGTCTGCTTCTTTTTTGGGTATGAAGCAACAGGGTCTGTCATGATGGTAAGTAATCACTGATTTGAGTTACACAGTGCGTTGTGCAGCTGACGATTGGGGGTTGGGATAGACCCTGTTGTACTCCGTACATTCGATTCGTATGATGGCGTTGCCGTGGCGTTTCCGGGACTACTATGATCAACCTTAGCGCGTCGCTGCGCACAGACTTAATGAACTGAACGGAAAGGCATCGATTTTTTTTTAATGCGAACACGCGGACCAAGCGTGTAGGACGGCAAGTAATGTGGCATTCCACTCCGATAGAGACGGGAGCATCCGACCCTTCAGCCCTGGGTTGGAAACCCTCGGGTTTGGATTCTTTTTTCACCTCCTTGGCTTGTATAATCAGTCGATCAAGACAGCAGGGTCGGAATACGATGTCTCCCAGGTCGGATACCACACGCAAATCGATGTACAGGTACAGATGAACCTCGTGTGGGTTAGGCGAATGGTATTGTTAAATGTCTAGTAATGCTTAATGTCAAATATGAACCCGTGTATGATTGGTCTGCAGCAAGGGATGTGATTCCCTACTTAGTCAGTGTACTCCGTAGGTAATTGTGTCAGGAAGCATGCGTGGACACGAGCATCGGATCCGACTGATGAACCGGGAACATGTTGACAAGGCTGGAAGGGGGTCGTCGGTCAAGAGCGCACACGCTGCTGCACATGCGATGGTAGAAGTGGAGAGGAGTACGCCAACGATGACCAGCCACAACATGCCCAGCCCTGCCTTTAAATCGTGGTGGGGGGAACACCGCCATGATGCAACGGACCACTGCTGTGCCATAGCCTCAAAGCCATTCACGGTCGCGGGACGTTGCGTGGCCTGCGGGAACACCCAAATCGACGCTCACAATGAATGGATCCGCGTTGCTCAGTCATCGGGGAGTGTTTTCCATCCGGACTGGCGGCTGACGACGAAGTTTCTTGGAGATCAGCGCCCAAAAATAGTCGCCCGCCCAGACTGAAAACCGCCTGCCTAAACTTCAAGCGTCCTGCGTCTTTCTTCCCCATCTTTATCTCACCGGCTTTTCGTTCATTTGTCCTTCTCCTCACAGTGTTTGTTTATTCCCCGTTGTGGTGAAGTAGGTGGAAGAATCTCTCGTTACTTTTCCCTGAATCTCACTGGGGTTCCTTCGTTTCGTTGATCGTTGGGGGCCATTGCCGCAGTTCAAAGTCGGTTCCGGGTCAGGGGCATTCTCTGATTGATCGTTTCAGCCCTGCTTGTTGCCCGCCAAACGTGCCGTCGTCATCTCTGCGAGACGACCCCTGTCAACAAACCAACCTCTGCTTTGCAGAAGAAAACACAAATTATTCCTGTACACTTCGCAACTACTACCACTCGCCAGCGAAAAGCTTTACCGGACAATCGCTTGCCCTCGGTCATTACAACGACCTGATTGACACGGCCTCCCTGCCTGCGCCTTTCGCCGGCCCGGCTGTCCATTCAATATGGCAGCCAACAGCTACTACCATGGCGGTTACAGCAGCAACCCGCCTACCTATGAGCAAGCTAATCCTCACTTCGATCCCATTCCGACCCCAGGCCATCCTGACTTCCACACACATCCTTACGAGCCCACGGCAGCCGACCCTCAACTTCACCACAGTCAACAATCTCTCGGTTCCGACCAAGCTTATGCGGCCGGTGGAAGACTGAATGAGGAACCCTACTCTGAGAATATCCCGCTGAAGAGCAATCAATATGCAAATGGATCTCCGCCGCCGAACTGGATGCACCAACCCACTCATTATTCGCCCACGCCCGAAGATATCGAACCGCCGGTCGCTCCGACAGCGCGGAGGAATAGGAACAGGAAGAAGGGGTTTTTCAAAAAGAAGATTCCGTGGGTAACGTATACGTTTACGTTGGTCCAGATCATCGTGTTCATTGTGGAACTGGTGAAGAATGGTATGTCAGGTCGGCCAAAAGGTCCCTTGGAATCCATCTGACAACTCTGCAGCTCAATTTACAGGCTCTCCTATCGAGACGAAACCATCATTCAACGTAATGATCGGACCATCCCCGTACGTGCAAATCTACATGGGGTCGCGGTACACACCATGCATGAAGAACGTCCCTGGCATCCAGAACGCCAACGAAACAGTTCTCTTCCCTTGCCCGAACGCTACCGCGTCGGTGGCTGAGTGCACGCTATCTGAGGCGTGCGGCTTCAGCGGTGTACCGAATCCTCACCCGCACGGATCGCTTGACGACAAACCGGAACCCAACCAATGGTTCCGCTTCATTATTCCCATGTTCATCCACACTGGATTTGTCCATATCGGCTTCAACTTGATCGTGCAAATGACTATGGGAGTTGACATGGAGCGGATGATCGGCTGGTGGAGGTATTTCGTGGTGTATGTGGCCAGTGGAATCTGGGGCTTTGTTTTGGGCGGCAACTATGCCGGGCAGGGCGAAGCGTCGTGCGGCTGCTCCGGTGCTCTGTTCGGTATTCTCGCTCTATTCATCTTGGATCTCCTCTATACATGGAAGGACCGTCCTTCTCCTTGGGTGGAGATGATCATTATGATCCTAGGTATTGCAGTGTCCTTCGTGTTGGGGCTTTTGCCGGGATTGGATAATTTTGCCCACATTGGAGGCTTCATCATGGGACTGGCTCTGGGCTTGTGTCTTCTTCGGTCGCCTAACGCGCTGCGCGAGCGGATTGGCCTGGCGCGGAACCCGTACGTTGCCATGAGCGGCGGGGCCGGCACTCCCACGCCCGATGACAACCAGAAGGTGAATACTGGGCCCAGCCTGGTTGATTTCCTAAAAGGACGTCGGACTCGCACCGGAGCAGGCGCCAGCAACAACAAGTTGAACCCAGTGAACTTCTTCCGGGGCCGGAAGCCATTATGGTGGGCATGGTGGCTGGTGCGCGCGGGTGCCTTGGTCGCCGTGCTCGTCGGCTTTATTCTCCTGATTGTCGATTTCTATAAGTATCCCAAGTCCAACTGTTCCTGGTGCTACCGATTAAGTTGTCTGGTAAGTAACGCAATGCTGGTGGATCACGCTTATGCTAACTGTATCGCAGCCTGTCAATGGATGGTGTGAAGAAGGCCAATTGACGACAACGAAGACATCCTGAGCAACTATATTCCAAACTATTTTATTTCTTCATTGTGTTATACTGAATGGTATATGGTTTGGTCTGGTTTCTTAAGGGATATCCTGTCGCAAATGCGGTTATCATATATCGAGGCAGTACATCAAGCGGCGTTTGGGATACTTATATCTGGTGCTGTAGTTTGCACCAGCGACTCATGTTTATACCATAGTACGGGACGGAAATCCCAATGATAAATGATTATGATTGAGGGATTGTGAAGAGTAAGTACTAGTTAGTTACTAGGCATCTGTTTCATAAACCACCAACAGGTGCCGAGCCACAATCTAAATATAGGCGCATGTGATCGGCAAACCGTGGCTGTGCGATACGGTACATGTAACGTAAGAATAATGTGGTGCCTCAGATCGCCAGATCCATCAGTTCCATTCCCTCCCTCCACTTCCGCTCTTCCCCGTCATCTCTCATTCCCACTTTACTCCTTTCTGGACTCGATTATAGTAGACTGTATCATCCAACTGCTATACATTCGAGTTGTCACTGCTGCGCTGCTGACACCACACCCCTGTATATTCGATTATCGCCATGATTTGAATCGTCGCTCGCAACGTGGATGTCATCTCGCTGATACTCCATACTCCATTTGACCATGGCAACACTGGCAGCCTCACCTCCATCCTCGCCTTCGTGGCCGAAAAGACGGCCGCGGGCCTGGGCTCTCCGCATTGAACGCTACTGCTGCACGGCAGCATCATTCTTCCCTCTGGCATTTGTCTACAGCCTAACGACATGGGCCGTCTGGGTCGAAGCCAGTGTTGGCTTCAAGCCGTCTGAAAGTGCTTGGGTTGGTGTGTGACTGTGGTCCCTCCGTCCCTTCATCCAACTGCTTACTGACCTGTGATGTGAGCTAGGTATCCCAAGTTCCTTCCTCGGAATCATCCTCTATATCTGCCTCAACGCATGCTACACGGTCGCCGTCTTCACCGATCCCGGATCCCCCCTCACTCCCAGCGGCCGCGGTCGACATGAATATAGTGCACTTCCAGTGACCGAATTACCACAATATACCGCCTACACCGTGAGTTCGACCGGTGGATCCCGATTCTGCAAGAAATGCCAGTGCCCGAAACCGGATCGGGCGCACCACTGCTCGACATGCAAGCGCTGCGTGCTGAAGATGGATCACCACTGTCCGTGGCTGGCGACCTGCGTCGGACTGTACAACTACAAAGCATTCCTGCTGTTCTTGATATATACGTCGATCTTCTGCTGGGTGGATTTCATCGTCGCGGCACTGTGGATATGGACGGAGATGCTGGACGATAGTAAATATATCGATGTGGATAAAATGTTGCCGATCAACGTGGTGTTGCTGGCGGTGCTCGGTGGCATTATTGGCCTGGTACTGTCGGGTTTCACCGTCTGGCATATCAGCCTGGCTTTGCGGGGAATTACGACGATCGAATGCCTGGAGAAGACGCGGTATGTGTCACCGTTGCGGAAAGCGCTGGATCGCCACCGCTACGAAAATGTGCTAGGCAGCGAAGGGGGCGACCGAGAAGGATTCGGTCACCGGCTGCAGGACTACGGAGGGCAGATCCTCGACGCCCATGCGAATGCGATCCCAGGAGTGACGCGGGCGGAAGAGGGTGAGGAACCAACGCCTCCACCCAGTGTGACACCATCCGGGATGCGGATGTCACCAGCACAGCAGGCATTGTCGCGATCATATGCCGAGATGGAGCGCCAGCGTGAGCACGACCGGTATCAGAACTATTTGGATGAGGAAGACAGCGAGAAAATGCCGCACGCATTCGACCTGGGATGGCGGCGCAATCTACGACACTTGTTCGGTGACCGCCCGCTGCTATGGCCGGTGCCGGTGTGTACGACAACAGGCGATGGCTGGCACTGGGAGCCGAGTGCGAAGTTCATGGAGGCGCGCGATCGCGTGCGGCAGCGACGGGAGCGGGAGGCGGCGGAGCAACAGCAATACCAGCGGGATCTGTACCAGCGGAATATGAACAATGGCCATGCCTGGGGTGCATCTGCTGCTGCAGCCAACTGGACGCCGAACCAGCCGCTGGATGTGGTGCGCGATCCGGAGCGGCCGAACACGGGGGTGTCGATGAAGACACTAGCGCCGATGTCACCACGGCTGCGGGGGCAAGACAGCGAGGGAGAGATGAGCGAAGAGGAGATGCACGAACGAGAAGATGAATGGCGGAGCTGGGATTGATGTATACCAGTGTATACTAGGATGAATAATGTTTAAATGCGGTAGAACTATCATGAATGCTATATACTACGGAGTCCAATGGAATGGTAGCGACACCTGATTAATAAGGCAGGTAAACGTCAGGCCAACTGGCCTATCCGCATCTCCACCTTATCTATATCTCCGACTACTACTACATCACATCATCACATCATCACATCACCTCCCAACCAAACACCTCACCACCAATACCTCACTCATTACAACTTACCAACCACATAATAACACAAACATCCACATCACCAAACACCCTCGGGTGGAACCCCCAAAGACATGTCCCCTTCAACCCGCCGTCTCCTCAAAGAGTCCGCCGACCTACAAACCAACCCATCACCCTACTTCCACGCCGCGCCCGTCTCCGAATCCAACCTCTTCGACTGGCACTTCACACTCCTGGGCCCACCGCCCCCCTCTCCCTACGCAGGGGGCATCTACCACGGCCGCATCACTCTCCCGCCCACCTACCCGCTCCGCCCACCCAGCTTCCGGTTCCTGACGCCTTCGGGACGATTCGAAGTCAACCGCGAGATCTGCCTCAGTATATCGGGCCATCATGAGGAGACGTGGCAGCCTGCATGGGGGATCCGGACGGCGTTGATTGCGCTGAGGAGTTTCATGGATGGGGATGCGAAGGGCCAGGTGGGTGGGTTGGATGTTGGGG